GTCGGTATGGGGGCAGGAGCTGATCTGACTCAGTCTCCCCTCCACACTGGTGGAATAAATCTTCTTAGCTGAAATGGCACCTGGCTCGGGTCTCTCTCTTTTCTCTGTCTCACCGCACCTAACAACCCCCACTTCCTACCATATATCCTAAACAGCAGCCAGTCCAAAGTCAGATTCAAAAGAGAACTCAGGGTCTAAATGACCAGCTTCTCTTCAGAGAACCCCTCTTCCCATTCTGCAGGTATCAATGCCTGTCTTCTGTCCTTGAAGATGTCTTCACAGCCACCTGGCCTCCCCAAGCACTGTCCCTCATTAACTCCTGAGATCTTCCCCAACTCTTGGAAGTGTCTTTCCTTTCTCCATCCCCTTTATCAAATCCCAACTTACACAGAGGCAGGAAGCGTTGGGAGACATCTTTGCAGTTGAGAGAGCAGAAGCAAGAGACAGAGAAGAAGGATCTTGCGTCTGGCTTATATGCGAGCAGTTGAGTTGGAAATCCCCTGCCTAGACAGCTGTCTTACTTTGCTGTGCACTTTGTTCTTGCATGTTATCCTGAAGTTTCTTTCACTTTTGCTGGGGTGGAGTTAATAAAAAAAGAATACTTCCTGATCATGCACTTCTCTCTTCGGCCAATCCATTTTCACTTTTGCCCAAATATGGTATAGTCCGTCTCTGTTGAGAATTTTTCCCTCATTAATCACTCACCTCTCTGCCCCCTGTCCCGACTTATGACTGTCTAAGCCTGCAGCCCTGGCCCCTAACTGGTATGAAGACCTGTTATACTTTTAAGAGCACTCCATCAGCCAGGGCCCTTTTTGAGAGGAAGAGCACTCAGTAGAGGACAGTCAGGGTTGGCAAGGAGTGATGTGCCTGTGAGCAACCTCTTCACAATAGCATGGCAGAATATGTAAAACATGCTTTGAGAAGACATCAGAGACATAACCCTGGAATGATAAGAGACAGGAGTCTGAGTCCCAGGGGTGCCACTTACTACATTACCTTAGGAAAATCTGTTCATTTCCTTAGATACTGGTTTCCTAGTCTATAAAATAAGATGATTGTCTTCCAGGATCAGAAAACTTTGTAATGTGTCGTTTACAAAGATCTTTGGATTCCTGGATCTTGAGCTCTCCAAGCTTCCTACCCTGTCTCAGAAGCTGCAAACCAAATACACTACTTGAGAACAATTTTAAACCAACACTTAAATGCTTGCTACTTTCTTCCACACACCAAAACAATCCACATCCACTCTCACACTGCAGTGCCTTTATTTCCCCGCCTTTACTCCTGATGCTCCTCGCTACTGTCATCCCACAAATAACCTAAACATGCTGCTCACTCCCTCACTGTTAAGATTTGGACTGAGACAAAGGGTTTGCATGAGCTGTGTGTCCTCAGGGAATTTACGCAGTCACTCTGACCCACCTAACATTCCAGTTAATCACTGCCTTCTCCCAAACTCCTAGGATATTATCACAGAACCAATGTTTTTAAAAAGCACTTATTAAAAGTGTTTCATATTTTTTCAAAGTAGCAAGTCTGTAAAAATGCCAAGTTACCATCTTTGTTTTGCTGTGTTTGTAATGGCCGTTCACTGAAGCTTCATTCACTGACCCCATTTTATTATAAAGGGTTCTGTCCTGCAGAATTTCAATTTGCAGAAGTGCCCACATGGGGCAAAGAGATCCAAGAGCTCACTCTGATTTCTTAAAAGCCTAACAAAAAACATATTCTTCTATTTGAAGTTCTTCTTAGATAGCCAGTTAATAGAATTGGTACTATTACTTAAATGTATTTAGTGGAGTGGACATACTTTTTTAAACACGTAGAATAAGTATGAAGGGAAAGAGTGCCTGATTTACTGGAAGCCACTGGCCTCTGCTATTCTCCTTTTTT